GCAACATGTAAATGACATATTTGCAGTTTCTTCGCTTTATTAATTCTCTGCCATACATTGCCCACAGTAGGAATGCTGTGTGAGGGTGAGCACAAAAATTGAGAAAAATGAAGAAAAATAACTTGCCTTTTTTTCTTTTTGACTGCAGCGAATTGCCAGAATTTGGGCTGCACAGATGATCATCATGGATCTGTTATTGTTCCGCTTGGTCAAAACCCATTTTCCACAACAAAAATTGAATTCCAGGTAGACGTGTAAAAAATTGCACTGAACAAGGTCAAAGAGATTGCAGAATTATTTCCTTTCAGCCTGCCATAACAGTTACAACACTGGGGTTTCAACTTAATACAAACAAAATCTATGATTTTTCCACACAATTCATTACTGTGATTAAAAAAAAGGATTAAGACACATACAAAGCCTCCAGTGACACCTCTGGATTTCCTGGTCACATCTGTCTGGACATTGTTGGTTGAGTGTTATATTAATCTTTAGTGGCTTATTATATTTTTCTCTACTGATCCTGTGCAATAAAACAGTTATGGTCAGCCTTTGATATTTCTGTAGCTCAGATATTATGGAGATATTCTCTGAAAAAAGAGTAAGAAATTGTTTAGTTTTTAGTTATTTTTATAGTGTGTGTAAACTAGAATACAGGTATATTCCAGAATTCTGCTAAATGTTTGTTTCTAGAAAACATATGCATGCATTTTTTAATATTTACAGTCATCTGAAAAGACTGATCCATGATGTTCTGTAACTGATATTTTACTACTTTGCATCCACTATTTAATAAGATGAGCCAATGACTTAGTTTTTTTAACCATTATTCATTCAATTGATTATATGGGTTATGTGAGGTTGAAGTCAAAGCAAACAAATCACAGGATGATTTAGCAAAATGTGTGACCCAACCAGAGAATTTTGCAAGTTTAGATATTTAATATTATAGGAGGACATTCTTGTAAGGTCTAAAACGATTTACAGATTATTATTTCTTACGTAGAACGACGATTGAATAACCTCCGTTGGGTTACGAATTCGTACGTTTTACAAGATCCAAACTAGGTCGTCAACGTGTATTGACCTGTTGTTGATTTACCGTCAGTTCATAATCTTTTGGAGATTGATTATTAGTAGACCGACTGACAGTTTCATAGAACAGAGGGAAAATATCTATTGATCAAGAGTACAATAAAAAAGAAAAAAATCATAATGCATGGAATAACAAGTGTGTTGGGCTTGCCACTTGGAAAAGACTTTTCACATGGTGGATCATAATGGTCAGGGCTGGAATTTCAGCTGATAGAACTACAAATCCTGGCCCTTAAAATATTAAAATATTGCACGTTAAAATTCCCTGGACAATAATACAGTACAATAGTACAGTACAATAGTACAGTAGAGACTTCTGCTCCATGGGGACAAACAAGATATATGACAGCATGAATTCCTGTGCCTCTGAACAGGAGGGAAACAGGGCAAAGCAGCTGTGTGAATATGGACTAGTTTCACACAGTGTACT